TATAATTACCAAAAAAATCTCCCTAAAAAGTTAATGATGAATGTGCTAATATGTACTTTTATAATGCTGAGACCTAGACCTATAAATCTATAAATATGGGTCACATGTCATGAATAAGACTCTTTTTACTATTTCATACTGCTCTCTCTCTCTCCCCCGAATCACTTCCGAGCAAAACGTTCTATTCCTTGGGTGTGTTTTCCGAACACTTTTGGATTCAACGTCCTTTAAGATGTGGCGAGCGTGGAAAAATGTCATCAAGAACAAGAGGAGTCCAACAACAACAGCAGGGAGGGTCCAGTCAGAGGAACATAGGATAAGTAGCCTGCATCCGGGAGTTTATGGAAGAATTCGTTCCACAAAGCCTGCAATATTTGATAACTCAGATCACCAACCAAATGTCAGAACAATTCACAGAAATACTTGGGATTAGCAGCGGCCCAATTCCAAGAGAATAGCCAGCACAATAAGGAACACTCAACCCCCGCCTCGCCCCCCAAATCCAAGTGGAACCACCAGCCAACAATGGAAGGAGGGTAATCCACCTGCAGTAAAAACTTGACGACGATCCATACCAAGACAGCGTCGAATCCGCCACCGTGGAGGAGAGGAAATGAATATTGCAGACAAAGGCAGTAAAAAATGTCTTCTTCTTACAAATCTTCGGAGTTCAACCTCCGAAGAAGTTCAAGATGTTGGTCTTAGAGACGTATAAAGGATGGTCGGATCCCAAGGACCACCTCGCATCGTTTGAATTGTCCATATGCCTGTTGAAAATTTTTTATGCCCTTAAGTGTAAATGTTTCTTCACGATCTTTGGATCAATCGCATTAAGGTGATTTGATGAATTGCCCGTGGTAGTAATCACCTGTTTTGCAGAGTTTGAAAAACTCTGTCTATCACAGTTTGCCAATACCCTGAGGCCTAAGAAAAACGCCTGATTCTGGTGGCAACTGATGCAAGGAGCCAACAAGAGCATGCAGTCATTTATCGCATGCTTCCAGAGTGAATTGTTAGACGTCAGGGGCTTGAAGCCCAACATGTCCTAGGTTGCGCCAACACAAGGAGTGAGCTCGAATAGGTTTCATTTCGATCTCAAACTCGCAGAGCCATAGAGCTTGGTTAAGCTGTTGGAAATGACTTACAAATATATCTTCCCCTATGAGAAAGACACTGAGCTTGCCGAACAGAGACACCATAAGAGACCGTCACAAGACAACAAAGGACAACTTAGACAAAGTGCACGACCGTCCAACCACCCCCACTACGAGGATCACCCTAACAATCACTCCATCTAGCGTCATAAGGATCAGAGGCGGCAGACCAAGTCCCAGAACCATCAATCATCATACCGTCTTGAACACCCCGGTATAATCCCTGGGTCCCCCACAAAATCCCGCTCAGGGGGTCCAACGCATAAATAATGGACATCATCGTGGATAAGGAGTTCTTCAGGAAAGCAACGTAGATGAGAGCTAGAGCTTTTTTTTTATAGCAGAAAATATTGTAAGTACCAGAGAGATCACATAGACGATACAGAAGAATGTAAACACCTGCAACAGTATTATTGACGAGCTGATAAAGGAAGGGAAGTTAAAAGAATTTGTCACCCCTATAGCTGTGACCCAAAGGCAGGGAAGAGGACAAGTGGGAAGCAAATGGGGGAACTCAACTTCTCAACCTTTGCCCCAAAACCCAAGGGCCATCCGCCTATTTATTTCACCGACGAGGATCTTCCCCCAAAGGGAAATCCATATAACGACGTTATTGCAATAATGATGATAATCAACAATTAACAAGTAGGAAGCATTCTCATTGATATAGGGAGTTATGTGAATGTACTTTCAAACAAGTATTCTATAAAGTGAGCCTCATTGCCGATCAGATGACCGCACCGGTCGGTCCGCCGTATGTATTCTCAGGTGGAAAGAAGGAAGTGTTGGGAGTGGTCAAGCTTCCGGTAAGTTGGGGAGAAAATGTGAAACAATTTACGCTCATAAAAGATTTCCTCGTGGTGGATCCACCCCCGATGTATAACATTATATTCAACCAACTGGTGGTGAAAAGTTTCAGAGCTGTGGTCTCTACTTAATGTGTCGCCGTTAAATTTTCTGAAGATGGATAAATTATTGCTGTCAGGGGTAACCTAGAGCAATCTTGAGTCTTCTACTTGTGAGCTATAAGCAACGTAGAGCATGGTCCCTGGACATCCAAAACGCAAGGGAAGGTGGCCTCAAGTCCAACGTGACTGATTGAAGGAGAACTAGGTAGATGTTTTTTTTATAAGTGAAGCTTTTGATACATGTCACAGGGAGTTGTTGATCTAAACCCTCTAAGAGAATCAAGATGTTTTTGCATGGATGACTGTTGAGATGTTGGGTGTGTCTACCGACACTGCATGCCACAAATTGAATGTCTGTCCATCGGCTAGACCCATGAAGCAGAAGATCAGAAGTTCAGTCATCACATTGTCTGATCCCATCCGAGAGGAAGTATAAAAGCTGGAGGAGGTGGGGGTACATTCGGGAAGTGCAATACCCCACCTACGTCTCCAATGTGGTGATGGTGCAGAAGGCCATCGAAAAGTAGAGGATGTGTGTGTACTTCACCAACCTGAATGCTTGCTCAAAAGACTCTTACCTTCTACCAAAGATTGATGCTCTAGTGGATTCGGCGGCCGAACGCGCAGTCTTAAGTTTCCTCAACGCATTCTCCGGGTACCATCAGATAAAGTGCACCTAACTGATGCAAAAAAACTGCTTTTATTAGTTATGAGAGAGTTTTTGTTACAATGTAATGCCCTTCAGTTTTAAAAATGTAGGGGAAATTTACCAACGCCTTATAAATGTAATTTTCGCTAATCAAAAAGGAAGGAACATTGATGTGTATGTCAGTAATGTACTAGTGAAGAGTCGGTCGGTCGAAAAACACATTGAGGATCTAAAAAAAAAAGACTTTCTAACACTTTAAAAGTAACATGAATCCAAACCCTCTAAAGTGCACCTTTGGGGCCACGACAGACAAATTCTTGGGATATTTGCTAGCCCCTTAAGGCATCAAGTCTAACCCGTAAAAGATTCAAGTACTCCTCGATATGTTCCCCCTAAAAATACTAAGGAAATTCATAAACTGATCGATCAGATCGTAGGTTTGAGCATTTTCTTCAAAGTTCTTAGAAAAGCCAAATGCTTCGAAGGAACACCGAAATGCGAAGAGGCCTTCAAGAGCCTCAAGCAGTTCCTAGCCTCTCCTCCCCTTCTTCAGAGTTTGAAACTGAACGAAAAGCTTTATCTTTACCTCGTGGTCAGCCCCAAAACTATTAGTTCGGTTTTAGTCGGAGAAGAACTTGGAAAGCAGCACCTGATGTACTACACCAGCAGGTTCCTTAAAGGAGCTGAACTCGAGTATCCAATAATGGAAAAATTGACTTTTGCCTTAGTCATTTCAGCACGGAGGCTGCAACCATATTTTCCGGTACTCCTAATAAAAGTTTTCACAAATCACACATTAAAATATGTTCTCACCAGGCATTCTGGTTGACTACTGGAAGTGGTTGTGGAACTAAGCGAGTTGGTCGTCTCCTATATCCCCCAGACAATAATAAAGGCACAAGTTGTTGCGAATTTCCTTGCAGATTTCTCCGAGCCGAGAGGGACAAACGATGATATGGCGATCGACAGATCGAAAGATCGACCTGGACCCTGTTCACCGATTGGGCCAGTTAGGTGTTGGACTAGAGTTTTCTTGTGTAGCCCCGCAGAGGAAAATGTGTATCACTCATTTGAAGTAAAATTTCCTTTGAATAACAACCATGCAGAATATGAAGATTTTATTTAAGCACTTCGCCTAGCCTCGGAGATGGGAGCCCTCCACGTAATGGTAAATGTTGATTCCCAACTCATAGCGAACTAGATCAATGGAGAATTTGAAACCATGGACGAGACTATGACGAAGTACCTAGGAAAGGTGAAAACAGAGATTGATCGTTTACCGACTTCAAAATCGAACATGTTCGAAGGGAAGAAAAACAGGTCACCAACCTTATATCCCAAAGTCTTCATCTAGTAGAAGGACTATCTAGAAGTCGGTCGACCCTCGATCGAAGAACCACTAGCAATGAAGATACATCAGGAGGAGAAGAAAAGATTGATGAGCTCATACATTCGATACCTATGCACGGGGAGATCGACAAAATGACTGGTCGCATAAGATTCAAATATAAGGCTGTCAATACCTACTAGTAGAAGGAAAACTCTTCAAGAAGTCGGCCCAGTCTGATTATATATAAATAACTTTGTAATTATATAAAAAAAAAGTTTCTTATGAAAAGTTACTAATATGCATTTTTTTAATGTTGAGACTTAAACCTATAAATAAGGGTCTATGCCATGAATAAGACTCTTTTTATTGCTACCAGCGATCCCACCCATCACTTCCAAGGAGAACATTCTATTCCTTGGGCATGTAAGATTTAGTATATCTTTATAACTTCAATCCAAGAAATTGTCAAATTAAACAACACTTTTAACCTCATAATCATATAAAAATATTTTCAAGAAATAATATTTTTCACTTTATAAAAAATAAAAAATAATATTAATATTATTTTTGATATGATGTTAAACATTTGACTGTGACATAAATAAACAGTGAACCTTAAATGTTACACAAATAAACACATAAGAATTGTGTGGTATTTATATAAATTTCCAGTCATAATATTTAAAGCTACATATCATCTTCCTCCTCTACTTGCAGTCATGGCTAAGAGTTTCACAGCAACTTCATACCACAAGCCAAGTCTTTGTTGGTGCTATTCTGGGATCTGCTTGCTGCTCAATTTGGCTCTGGATCTGGCATTTACTAAAGCTTCGTGCATTCGACTCGTCGATTGGGGTTCGAGCAACTTTGCTTCTTGGCGCTGCATCTTATTATGCTACCTTACTATTCTACGCCATCCATCAATGGAGAAAATATTACATGCGTTCACTATATGTACCGTAAATGATGCAGATACAGGGAAGGTTCCATGCATTATTATTATATTTTTTTTTTTCGGCACATTACTACAACTTATATATCAAGGATCAGAGTGAGCTCAAAAATTATATTAAAACCATGGAAACTATACATAATATACCATAAGATGGTCATTTATTTGGCAAAGCTTTTAGGCTTTTGCGTATACATTTTGTATGATTAGCAGGTAAAATAATTCTGCTGAGAAAATTTCATTATTGCAAATATACCACCATGGTATTTGGCCTTCTTGGATCGAGTTTTTTAGTCTTCATTCGAAGCGGGTGGGTTTGAAGAAGGTAGATAGGACCAAGCAATGGCGGCGGAGGCGAGGGTCACGACAACGCCAATCGAACACCAGAACCATTTTTGTCTCTTGTTCCTTTGTTGACGGCGACGCCGCGCCTTCTCTGCAATAAGAAATAGTTGTCATAAACATAAGGAATACAAAATGGCCAACAACATATTGTTTTTAAGTTAGGGGCATTTACTTACATACCACCCAATTCCTATCAATTTACATATCTAAAACTTGTACTTCTTTACATTTATCATAACTCGAATCTAAAACATCTCTCCTAAGATTAGCTAGTTCATTTTTAATGTGATCAAACCATCTAAGACGACTCTCTTTAATCTTGGTTTGCCACTGGAGCTACACCAACCCTTTTCAAAAAAATATTCATTTCGCATTTTGTCTCCAAGTGTAAACTCACATTTTATCTCCAAGTGTAAAGCCACTCATCAACCTAAGCATTCTCATCTCACAAACACTTTACTTAGTTTTATGCTTTTCTTTTATAGGTCAACATTATACGTTATAAAGCATTGCAGGGTTCACCAACATATAAAATTTTTCTTTTATAAGAGATACTTTTTTATCACACAATAAGTCCGATATATCTAAAACACTCCCTCCTTGTTTAATTATTTGATCACCCATTTTTACAATCCAACCACCAGACTACTACCACTAAAATTATATTCCATAGATTTAGTTTTATATCTACTCAAACGAACCTCTTTAGATTCTAAAGTTGACCTCCATAATTCAAGTTTTCCCTAAACTCTTTCTCTAATCTTATCCACAAGAAAGATATCATCAGCGGCTATATATATATATATATATATATTAAATTTTAATTCTTATAAAGAGAAGACTTATATTCCAAGGGTGGGCAATTGCCCACCTCGAATATAATCTGATTCCGCCCATGTAGATAACTTTTTAAAAATTAAAATATTGTTACTTTTGATGTGATGAAAGATTTAGGCCATATACACGTAAAGAAGAAATTTCAGGCGCTATACATGTAAATGTAAATGAATTCGGAGGGTGTCTATGTAACTACCCCATTCCTATTTCTAACCTTTAGTTCAGTACTACGGTTAAAGGAAATAAGTTGTGATATGGATCATGAAGAATTTAAATAGGGAGAATAAAATTATAATGTATTTATATATCTGACCTCCAAAATTTAATTTTTTACATGCATGCCACACCAATGCATCAAAAGATGTATTTTACTTTCAAAAAGTAAAAATGACAGTATTTTTTAGGTGATATGAAAGATTTGAATGGCATGAATATAAAAAAAACAAAGCTTGGGTGCTAGATATGCAAATACATAGAAACTGGATGGTCTGTCTGTAAAACTGGGAAAAAAAGTTCAGATTACTCACCAACAGCCTCCTGGTTTCTTTGAGACATCTCTTTGTTCGTAGCTTCGTAATATCGAAGCCTATCCATGATCCTTGCAATCTCGAAGTTCTTCGCCTCGATTCGAGGTTCCATCTCCATCTCCATCACAGCTCTGGCAGAGCCCCTCGCGATGGAAGCAGACACAACCCTTGCCACGACAATTTGTTAGCTCAAGTCCTCTGCTGGATCAACAATGGCTTCTGCTTCCATGGATTTGGGAAGATCAGGAAGAACGAATCCAACAGCCGATAGATGTCGGCGGAGATTTCTCCACTTGATCTGCAGGTCCTCAACAGCTTCTTCTGCTTGCTTCCTTTTCTCAATTTCCATGAGTAAATTCAGCCGCATTTCACGAATTTCGTCTTCAGTCTTCCTATAAGAAGATCTTGAGCCACCATCACTTGATATCTCTACAAAACGATATTGGTTTTCAATGAGGAAAGATGATTTTTTGGGGAAATTTACATACATACTACACAATTCTTATGTATTTACATATCTAGAATGAACTAAAAGAATGCAAGCTTTAACTAAAAGAAATTCATGTAAGCTCATACCACTCAATTCTTACGTATTCACATATCTAATGCCTAAACTTTAGTTTTTCCATACATGTCACCTTATCCAAGCATGAAAAGATGTATTTCCACCTTTTAAAAGTTATAGTAACATTTTTGATATGATATGAAAGATTTGGGCGGTATAAAAGTAAAAAAAGCAAAGATATGTAAATACATAGGAATTGGGTGGTATGCATGTAAATACCCCTTTATTTATTTATTTTATTTAATTAACAGTAGCTATCTATATATTCTTCAGACTAAAGGCTATCACAAAGGAAACTATATATCCTCGATCACCTTCAGCTGACAGACAGCATGCAAACTTGTCTGCAACTTTCAAACCTGTCTCTCAAAAACAAATTTTATCACCTTGATCTTCAGAAACAATAAACTAAAACCTAAACCCCCTGCCTTCCTGATTATGTCTGTATGATTAATTAATGGGAAATTTACATACATGCCACAAAATTCTTATGTATTTACATATCTAACATCCAAATTTTGGTTTTTAAACTTACAACACTTTGGTTTCATAAATCTATGCACGAAAAAGCTGTATTTCACTTTTAGAAAGATAGTTTTGGTAGTATTTCTGATAAGATGTTAAAGATTTGAGAGGTATGCATGTAAATATTAATGTTTAGGTGTTAGATATGTAAATACAGGAGAGCTGTGTGGTAATGTATGTAAAAGTCTTAATTAATACAGAGAACAGTTGCAATGTAACCATAAAGATACACTTCACAATAAGAAATCAAACCAAACCTTCATAATTTCCTAAAAATATTCTACAAAGCAGGAATAAGGTTGCAGAAAATATTCTGTTTGTATATGATTAACAAGCACGATCTCCTCTGATAATCTAAAAGCCAAGAGAAATAATAATGCAAGATGCTCAGGATTGGGGTTTTTATGATGCAATTAATATCATGCAAAATATACTTTTTATGCAAAAGAAAACTTAGAATTAAGACTTATTACGAAATCAAAGAGTCGCTTTGCACCTGATCCACACTAAAAAGAATCACAAAACTAGCTTTCACTCATAATATTAAAATTGAAAAGAGAAAAAATTATATTCAAACCAAGAGTTATGAATTACATTAACCATTACTTAATAGACTTTACATAACATAAATTAGTAGATAATATTGGCAAATGATTAATGTCACTTTAGTACGAGATATATCTCAATGTAATTTTGAATTCCCCAAAAAAAACAAACAAAAGATAAATATTTAAACTTTTCAAAAACAAAACCATAATGTCCTAAAATACCATCCAAACGTAACCACCACCACCACAACAACAATAAGTCTTTATCTCACTAAGTGAGGTCAGCAACATGAATCCTCTTCATCTATTGTGTCTTATTGACTGTCATGTTTTTTATTTAATTCTAATAAATTAAGATTAGTTTTTATACAACATGCCCAAGTTTTTAAGTCTAGCTCTACCTTTCTTAACATAAGTCAAATTTAAAACATTTACTCTCCTAACTGGATCATCAGATGGTGGACGTTTAATGTGACCAAACCATCTGAAGATAACTCTCCCTAATCTTGTTTGCCATTGAGGTACACTAATGCTTTATCGAATACAACCGTTTCGCATTTTGTCTCTAGATGTCAAGCCATTCATCCACCTAAGCATTCTCATCTCCATGCCCAAGTTTTTAAGTCTAGCTCTACCTTTCTTAACATAAGTCAAATTTAAAACATTTACTCTCCTAACTGGATCATCAGATGGTGGACGTTTAATGTGACCAAACCATCTGAAGATAACTCTCCCTAATCTTGTTTGCCATTGAGGTACACTAATGCTTTATCGAATACAACCGTTTCGCATTTTGTCTCTAGATGTCAAGCCATTCATCCACCTAAGCATTCTCATCTCAACAACACTTAGTTTTATACTTCTCTTTTAAAGGCCAACATTTTGCAAATGTCATGATGTTTTCGACAAAAAAATTTCGTTGATTATCGACTACCTAACGCAACAACCAAAAAGAAACCGTTGCATTGAAATAGTACCACACATTCGATAAGCAATGAGTTCCAAGATTTAAATACATATAAGGTCAAAAATCACTCAGAACCGTAAAGTCAAAGGCATGCATGAGTTTCTTCCCTCGTAAATTTTCCAATTTATATATTTTCTCGCCTTAATAAATTTTCCAAACTCCACTAAATAATAATAAGCGCCGAAAACCAATGGATCACTCAATGCAACTATGCATGTACTTCTCCATTACACAAGAAAGAAAATTAAACCACCCTTTAGAAACAGACCACTCAATTCCTGTGTAAATACATAGGAACTGAGTGGTATGTATGCAAATATTCCAAAAAAAAAATAATGATCTTCACATGACACTCGAATCATAATTGGTTCTCTAATGTTTTTCATCAAATCTGGATCCTTTTTGCCAACTTCAAATAAAAAAAAAATCTAGATTCACTTTTTGCAGGCAGTACAATGAACTTTGGAGAGAGAAAATAATAAATTTTATGGCCAAAAATATTCCAAAAAAAAAAATAATGACCTTCACATGACACTCGAATCATAATTGGTTCTCTAATGTTTTTCATCAAATCTGGATCCTTTTTGCCAACTTCAAATAATAAAAAAAAATCTAGATTCACTTTTTGCAAGCAGTACAATGAACTTTGGAGAGAGAAAAGAATAAATTTTAAGGCCAATTAGTGAAATGTCAATATTGGATCAATTAGAAAGAAATTTTAAGTATTTGGATTGTTCTCCAAGAGTTACTATTCTGTTATTGAAATTTTCTTAGAATTGAACCTATTCTCTCAAAATCTAAGAAGTTACTTGATCGGATTGTCACAATATTGAGAAAGCTATTGAGCAAGATGACAAATAGAAAATAGAGCTTTGATTAAAGTTGACAATTTAAATTGACGGTTTAAGAAGCCTTTCACTCTTCATAAATGTTCATTCTAGTAATTTTCAAATTTTCCTCTCCACCATTGATAATTCCTTCAAATTTTCCCATTTTGAGAAGCCGAATATGGAAGTGGATGATCATTTATTCTCAACACATATGAGGCCATCAAAGCTTCTCCTTGATGAGAATTAATTATCACAAGCTAGTTGAAATTGATTAAGAATGAAAAAAAAATGTCTTGCACAACAATCATTTAGAGATTTTTGCAGACTCTATATTGTTTATAGATTTTCATAGATCATCTCTCCACTCCTATATATGAAAAGTCAATAGTTGCTACGCAATATTTTCAAATGTTTTGATTTCTTGTTTTACAGACAATAAGAAAAAGCAGAAAATAATGAAATCTCCAATGAATGTTTTTTTTAAGCATTCTATCATTCTTTGTTCTCTTAAACATTTTAGATATCAGATTCATTACGACGGATTGTTAAATAGTTGATAATTTAGATAGGTTATCTTCTTAATAGACTATATTGATATTGTTCTTATTAATCGATAATTCTCGTAGACAGATAATACTAGAGTTGTTTTAACTTAGGAATCAAATTTTCTAGATTTAGAGACTTGTGACAAAGCGAAAAAAGGCTTTATGATAAATTGAAATAAAAAAATATATATCGGCACCAAAGGTCAAAGATTAAACGGTAAATAATGGGGATTCTTTTCTTTTGATTTATGGGGATGACAAGTTTTTTTCACAAAAAGATTGTCAATGGTGGATTCAACAGAAGCTTCATCCACACTTTCCTTAATGAATCAAAGATTTTTTTAAGGGAAAAAAAAAGTTATTCCTAGTTTTACTGCTTTAACTAATGTTTAATAACATCTTGCAACTACATTTAGCTCAATCACTAATAGACTTATCCCCTATAAGTTACTCAGAGAACTTCAAGGGTTTTAGACCTATTAGCCTTTTGAACGGTGCATTCAAGATCTTGGGCCTATTAGCCTTTTGAACGGTGCATTCAAGATCTTGAGCAAGACTCTATTCAAGAGACTTAAAAGTTTTTAAGCCAGCACTTTTTGATGTCACTCAAGATGGCCAAATGATAAATAGAAGTACTATAAATTGTATTATGGCTAATCATGAATTTATTTATTTCATCTTTTTTGAGGAAACGAGCGCTTTTTATATTTAAGTTTTATTTTGAAGGCTTTTAACTATAGTGATTAAAGCTCCTTGATTTCCATTCTCTAGCACAAACTTTTTCCTCTTAGACTCATCTGCCAATTTAATTTCTCGAGCTCCATTCAAATGTTAAAAAAGGTTTTATTGGAGAAATTTCATTTCCTTTATTCTTTGTCATATAACGACAAATGTCAAACATAAAATGCTCATAAATATTAACATCATTAGTTGGATTAACAAATGATTGTATTAACAAATGATAGTATTAACTAATGCTCATAAATATTGACATTATTAATTGGATTAACAAATGATTGTATTGATAAGGCCTCAAAGCCTATTAATAGTTGTAAATTAATTGATGATACTCTTCTCTTATGCAGAGTTAATAATGTGCAAGTTAATGACTGTGAACTTATTCTTCAATTTTTAATAAAGTTTCTTCTCATAGGGTACGTTTGAGGCAGCTTATTTGATGCGGTGGCGTTTTGAAAACGCATCTGGCCTGTTTGGGTAAACTGCGTTTCGGCAGCTTATACGTTTTCAAAACCCTGAAAACAGCATTTTCACACCGCACCTATCTAGGCGCAGTGACAACTTTCTAGCAGCGGTCTGGCTTTTTCAAAAAAATTAAAAAATTGTAATAGCCACGGCACCTAGCTTATCAGCAGAATATTTTTAATCAGTTTATCAGCAGATTATTCAATAAGCTGCAGCTGCCCCAAACAGACCCTTAGTGTGATGACT